ATAGTGATTAAAAAACTTCAGATGAAGAGCTGTAAAAATTCCAAACTCAACAACCACACGACTGATTTGAACGGTTTACGATCAGCATGAAAATTGCTAAAATTTGTAAATCTACGTACTTCACTGAGACATTTGTAGACATTGCGCCCTCGACAAGCCTTTACAAGTTCGGATAACGAAGAAAGCACAGAGGCACGCTCGGTTGCATCTTTTGTATGCTGCAGAAGAGACAGCATCGGATTCATCAGTCGATCAAAATACGCAGGAGCTGCATCACCTGGAAGTAAGGCACTAAAGGGTTCGAGCTTAAAAGTGGCTCAATAAATAGCAAGAAAATAATTTCTTGAATTCGAAATTACTTTATTTTGAAATGTGAATTACTCCAGAAATGCAGATCTGTGAGTAGGGGCAATGTATGTTTCATTTTACACAGCAAACACTGACAGAAATTCGAAATATCACAAATGTAACATACGTAGAAATATCAAGACTACTCGGAAAATCAGCTTCAGAAAGTTACTGAGAACTTCTAACACAATGTGCACTGCCGTGCAAGGCTGCATATCACCAGTTAATACTCCCCCTCCCCCCGTGCCCCACCTCATCGATGGTTGCTAAATAAAATATTACTTATCAATTTTAAACAGAAGTTTCAGTACATACCAAGTCCGTGGGAGATTTTTGCAATTACTTCGGCAATTTTCACTCGCTGTATCAGCATAAGCGTATCCTTCTCTTCATCGCTTAAATTCATTTCTGTAAAAAAAAAGTTCAGTAAATAAAAATAAAAAAGGAAATGCGAGAAAAAAGACTGAGAAAGAGACTGTGTGAGCAAGGAACGCGATATTATCTAAAAAACGTTGCCCCCTCCCACCCTCCCAAGCTGCAAATGAAGAAACCAAAACAGAAGCAGACGGAAGAATATCAACTTACAATCGAAACGAATGAATGAACTGTGCCGGGGTTAAGTTTCAAATTTTGGCAAGAAATAGCATTATGTGCAACTACTCCATAACCTGCCAACTTA